TCATGGCTGGAATACGATGGCTGATGTGGGTCTTCCAGGCTGTGTGGTGATTAGCATGTTCATTGTGTGCATTATTCACACGTCCTGGTGGTTGAGCTGAGTCCGTTGACCTTTTGCAGGCTGTATTTTTCAGGAGTGGTAGCCAGGTTTTGTTAATTTTTAGACTTTCTTCTTTTTTACTGAAACTGTGCCGGTGTTTGTAAATTTCAATGGCTTCCCATATAGCCTGGTATACTCGCCGTTGGTGTTGTCCAGTATCTCTGTGTTTTCAAATAGGATTTTGTGTCCAGTGTGCTTGAGAGCATGTTCAACTACTGCAGATTTTTCTGGTTGCTGTAGCCTGCAGTGTCTTTTGTGTTCTTTTATCAATTCACACAATGAACATGCTAATCACCACACAGCCTGGAAGACCCACATCAGCCATCGTATTCCAGCCATGAAAGCCTTCGACAATACATTCTCTGGAGTTCTTCCATTCTTTTCAACGGATGCACCTGCCAGGTAGCGCTTGGATCCTGAAGTATGCCATTCTGCGTACGCCTGACTAGTAGCAAACTTTGGATGGTGACCAGAAGAATGCTTCATTGAAAGGTAAAATTTGAATCAAAACGTGAAGTTTTAAAGTTCATTAAAACGTAAGTTTTTCCTACACCCTAAAATCCTGATTCTGTCTCTGGGGGGCACCGGTGAATTGGTAAACGGCGTAAATTCTCTCTTTCCCATCGTTTGTTCCCAGAAAAGATTTCCACGCACTTTGTGCCCCTGATTCTGTCCCCGTCTGAGACAAAGTCTGCAGAGCTCGGTGGGCCTTCGAAGGGCGAGAGGCTTCATTGGAGAGCTGCGCTCACCATCTGCCCCTGGGGATGCCCAGAAGGAGGGCGGGCCGGCTCTCCTCGCCCAGCGGCCTCTTGTCCAGACAGGGCGAGCCGAGACAGGCCGCTCTCGCTGACGGGGTCGCAGGCGACTCAGCCAGAAAGGGATAGCAGACACCGACAAACGAAACGAATCGCAAAGGCTTAAGGGACTCGCCTGCAACCAACCTTCTGAGGGTTTGCTAAGCCCGCACATAACCCGGTTTAGAAGCAGCCACCAAAGCAGCTGCCGGATAGGAACGGGGGGGGGGGGCCGGCTCTCTCCGCCCGGCGCCTTCTTGCCCAGAGGGGGCGAGCCGAGACAGGCCGCTCTCGCTGACGGGGTCGCAGGCGACTCAGCCAGAAAGGGATAGCAGACACCGACAAACGAAAAGAATCGCAAAGGCCTAAGGG